TGCTCTGAAAAGTATAGCCTGGCTTCGTAAGTCCACCACGTCCAGTTTAAAAGTTCATTTCCCCTTCCCTTCTTTCTGTAGTTACACAAGACAGATAAAAACCGAAATGAACTATCTTCGTAACAGTAATGGGGTAATAGAAATACCAATCTTCCACCTTGTTTCATGAAAAAACAATAAATTTTTAACCAAGTCTATTTGCACACATGCACAAACAGAAGACTTGAATTTAAACTAAAATGCAGAACAAAGATGACTCAATGTCATTAAATCAGCCTAAAAACAGTATACAAAATAATGCAGGAAACCCAAATTACTTATTCCAATAGATTAATTTTTAATAGAATTATCTCCACTCAGACTTGTAAATAGAAGGCCAGAAAACCCTTGTTACTAATAATCTTCTACGAAATAGCAGATCAAGTGTATTTTGTAGTCATACGCATAAGGAAGCAACAAAGACCAGCTCTCAGTAATTTTTAATAGAGTGGATATCTGCCACACTAAACGACATGCATTTTCTAATCTCAGATGTTTAGAATACTAAAGCCTGGTGTGATTCTCCCTACATCATGGTATCAGAACTGACCATAATTTCTGCCTTCACACTTACAACTTGCTATCAAAGATTGCAAATAGCCAGAGTAAAGAGAGATACTTAACTGCTTTCTGAGACACTTAGGTTCTGGAGTGTAAAATATTTTTTCAGAACTGCAGTGGAAATTGAGATGCATAATGTGTATTCCTGAAATTTCTTTGGGAACAGCTGTCTGCCACACCTCTGCATGCAATAAAAATCCCTGGCTTTGTTTCAGTTACTGAGGGTCTTTAACAACTCTAATTATTGACACTTCAGTGCCTTCCACATAAGCAACACTACCAGAAACATCAACTGTTTGAGGGATAATTATCATGCTGTTCTTCTGTCCTTCCTCCTCAAAATCTACATTGATCTGACACTGCAAGTGTCAATGGTCAGAATATGGACAATCTTCAGACACAGGATAATATGTACAATTCAGGGCCTGTTGGTAATAAGTTATAATATTTTTACTGTAATTCTAGATGTCCCTTAAGTGTAGAATACTAGTATATAAATACCATGTCTATCACAAAAAAAAATAATTGTCTTTTAAGTATCTCCCTGATTACACTTGCAAAATAAAGTATAAGCAGATACCACTGCTGTAGATGATTATTTTTTAAAGCTCCCTCTATAACAAGACAACAGCATCTCTCTCCATTGAAAAATGCTACTCCAACTCACCTACCGCTACTGAATCATCTTCTACTGCCACGCAATCCCATGGACCTCTGTCATAAAGGAAATATATTCCCAAACCCACAATTTATTTCAGTTTCTTCAGAATCATGTGATAAAACCTTTCACATTTGTTTGCTTCTACTATTGTTATATACAAACTATCTTCAGATAGTTATCTTTCTTTAATTCAGGTGCTGGACAGGACTTGTTTTGACTAATGATATTCAACCAAAATACAGTTTATTCTCTTGTTTGTATAATTAATGCATACTTTATACTGTTACTTTCACTACTTTTAGATTTTATCTCACCTTTCATAGCTGGTCAGTTGCAAGAGAGCTCTCATTATATTCTGTTTTTGTTTCTTGACAGCAGACTTCATATTCTGATTGCTGTTACCTAACTGTATTTTCAATAATTACATAGAGTTTAGGGGAATACACACTAAACAAGCATTCAGTATTATAAACATGAACATTCTAGCTGAACTAGTCAATTTACACAATTCCTTTTAAAACAAACAAAAAAGAGAGTATGACTGCGCTCCCTACCACCTCAGGAGAAAGAAGAGTCAAAGGCTCTGCAGCAGTCTTGAAGTCATGTACCTGGACTGTTACGGAACATGGAGCACAAAGCAAGCAGGAACAGAAGAAATAGTAGCAAGACCTATTTCTCATAAAAACAACAAAGATTTTATTCCCTTAAGCCTTTAATGGCACAGAACAATAGCAGGTTAAAATAATATGTTCTATTACTTCAGAGAAAAGGTAGCTGGGGTGTATGAATACTGGCACAGGTAACATTAAGGACAGAGTGACTATTTATTACTGGATAAAAACAAATTAGCTTGATTGAAACGTACAGTTTAAAAGGTTAAGAGATTTTACTGTGAGTTACATTAATGCCAACAGTTCAGATTAACACCTTCTGAAGTCAAATTAAAGAAAGAGACTGTCTCCAAGATAAACACCTTTTCTTATCGCAAAGTTCAAATCTTACACTTTTTATAATCAACTGAAATCCAAGTTTACTTATTCATTAGTTACTTAGGTTCTTAAATAAGATGTTATACATACATTCAAAGTTCTCTCTTGAGCAAAAAAATCTCCCTGCCTCCTATCCCTTCTACGTTGTCTCTCAAGGATCTTCTTCCCATGCAACCTCCCTCACTCTGAAGGAAGAGTCCTCACAGGTTTTGCAGTCTGCTCCAGACTTTTACGCAGTTTCTGTAACTCAAGTGACTACATTAGTCTCCATGCTTCTAAGTGTTAAGCAGGAAGCAAAAGTTTCACTCAGACATCAACCAAGATTTGTAGGAAAAGCTGTATTTCCCAACTTAAAACTCATCCACTTCAATGGAATACTTTAAGTGTTCTTGCATCCCTTCCCCAGAGATATTAGTAATTTCTTGAAAGATGTATTTAAAGTCAAAATTGATTATAGACAGATTGCAGAGCAAAATTGCAAAGCAGGAAGGGAGAGTTGGCATAGGTAGACTAAACAGCACAAATAATATTTTACTTTTGTCCCAGAGAAACCTATCTATGAAATGAAGAGATCCTTTTTTGATCACTCCTACTTAGAAATAAGACAAATAGATTAAATGTGCTTAAAAAGGGACATAAATATTATCAGAGCATTATTCAGAAGCCTTCATGATGAGATCAAATAAAGCTTCAATACACTGTAAAAAAGCTTCTAATTAAGAATGTGATGATTGATACCCAAAGCAAATAGAAACAGCTACATAATTTCTGAGAAAGTTCTAACAATGATGCTAGGAAGCAACATCAGTGAGAAATTTCAGTTGACAAAAATTTTTTCTGTCAGTAACTATCAGGTTACAATTAATATTTCAGTATTTAATACTTAAATTTCCATAACCTGGTAACTAAAATTTTAATTGTTCAGTTGTATTTTTAACATTGTACATAATGCTTTAATATGCTGAAAAACTTTTTTATTAAACTGCATTTGAAATCAGCATTCTCTTTATAACACAATTATACACAGTCAGTTGCTCTGACACTGGATGTCTTCGCTTGAACTGATGGCAAATAAGTGAAAAATGACCAGCGAAGACTGATGGCCAGAAGAGCAATAATGATCATGTTTTTCACAGAACACCTTTTAAAATAAAAATAAAATAATGAAGAAAGGAAAATAGCAGTAACATTCTAAGTAGATCATATTTCAAAAGTTATCTTTGAATCTCTGGCAGCTCTTTTACGCTGAGCACAAAAAATTCAACGCTCCACATTTAAGAATAGGTAGCCATCTAGGGATTATTTCTAGATCAGTGCCTCTACATCAAAGAAAAAACAGGAAGCAAAGGAAGAGGCAACCTTCTCCATAATTATTGATGCTTTTCTTTCTACTTAAACCTCTAAGAGAATTGATACTACCATTGCTTCTGAGTAAAAAATAGGTACCTTAGAAAAACTGATTGACAAGTTAATCAAGAGAGGTTAATTTGTAATAGTTGCAGTCACACAAACTCTAAATAGTGACATGTAAATTACATGAACAATACAAATGACTCGTACAGACTAGTTTTGAACATAGGTGGATCAACAGACATTTATTCAAAGTACTCTCTTCAAAGTATTCTTTCATTTATATTTAGTTTTATTAATGTTGTCAGCCATTGCCATCAAATAAGGACCTTTCTACACTATTTCTGAGTATTTTTGACCAATTTTTCTGTTAATAAGAGACATTCTAATGCAAATGTGGTAGAATTGAAAAGGCCTCACTTTTACTTGTTGGCTTGGTTTAACCTTCCCAGTGCAAAAATTCTTTGGCATCCCCGCTAATGGCTTGATTAAATACAGTACATCAACAACACTGGAAGAAACTTTTAGTCGTTCAACACCCCAGAAGGACATAGGTTTCTGCTACAATTTCTATAGTGATTGCTGATATATTTGTAAAGACTAAACTGCACGTTCACCAATTACTTATTCTAGGCTTGTGGTTTATCTTTAAGAATCAGTCTAGGAAACAGCAAATGTTTATTACAAAGCAAACAAAGTGTCCAGATAATCAGAGTAGATTAAAACCACTATGTAATAAGAACAAAACCCTGGAAGCTGTACCTGAATTTATTCCAGATTTGTATGTATTCCAAATTAAACAAGATGCATGACAAACAAAAAGTGTAACATATATCTGTTGCTGCAAATGAGCACTCCCAGTAAACTCTAGTTTTGCATTTCAGACATTAAGCACAGACAATAACGACCAATACTTTACCCCTTATAGCAACTGCATGTGTCCACCCCAAAAAAAACTTCTGCAAACTGATTAATGTTTGACTTTCTACACCACAGAGATTTCGGCATGTACTGTGGCAACTGGATTCAGGACTGGATCCAGGACTATCTGAAGCTTTTTCAAGCCTCAAATCAGAAAAACATGGCATAGAATTTGATTTCAAACACCCAATCTTTAATCTTATCATTTCTCTCAGAAAAGTCCTACAGAGGGTGCTCTGCTGCTTAATTCCCAACTCTTTCAGAGCTGGACAATTAAAAAAAAAAGCCAACACAAAACCAAAAACCAAAACACAAAAGTAATTTATTAGACCTCCATTTGAGCCTCCTCCTCCTCCCACCCTCAGTGGCTTTGATCATTCATGGCGGCCATTAACAGAAAAACAAGTTCACTAGAGCTTTAAGATGAAAAATGAGGATAAAAACAGTAAAAACAACATTTCCCAAACATTTCTCTTTACCTTGGCACTACAGACTGCTACATTAGCAGGGAGCTGGGAAAACTGCTTCAACTCAAATACGTCTCGCACTGCCCACCGGCTCAAGCGATTCTCAGCCCTGCTGGATCCAACCACATTCTGATTTGAATGAATATATGCCACTTCTTGAACACCATCTAATGTATTAGGAAAAAGATACAATCAAAGATTTGTTCCAAAACCCTGAAGGTACACAGTTACACTGAGAAAGGATTTTGTAATTTAAAAAAAAAAGTTTTACATGGAAGTTGTAAAATTTGTTATGATTTCACTCAGCACCATGTTTCTCAGCTCTCTGAAATGAACAACAATCATTACACTTATTCAGATTTATCCAGACAGTTTAATACTGCTTCTATTTCAGAGTGCTTTTTTCAGATGGACAACGGAGAAGTTTCAAAGCATCTGTGATTTAATGGCTGCAATATTAATTTTTAAAGTTAAGTCTCTAACAGAATCAAATCTTCTACATGGTATTTCAAACTCCCAAATCATATAAACAAACACTTACATACATGGAAAAAACCCACCATAACAGCCCCATCAAGATTTTACAGATCAAATATTTAGATTTGTGAATTCCTAACAAATCTTCAATCTTAGCATCCTTCAACAGTAAGTGCTTAACAAAATATCACAAAGGAATCCATCACCTCAAAACACAAAAGTAAGGCTAATAGGTAAAAAGAGAGATACAGAAGGACATTACTAAATAATTTAGCAGAGCATTTTAGTGTCTCGCAGCAAAAACCATCTATAGCACAAAGAACTTAAAACCTGCCAACAATGATAAATTAAACATGTTACTACTTTAGTTGAAATAAGATTAAAGAAATGAAATGAGTAGTTACCTAAGTATCTGTCCATTGATTCCACTTTTTGCTTTTGATGTTCAAATGCAGTTTTACTTGCAGAGGTCCTACGCACAGCAGAATTGCTGGACTTCGTTTGTGCAACAGAGGTTTCTTGAATAGGATGAACCACTTTAGACCCAAACTGAACTCTGCCTCTCTGTCTTTTATACTTACAGCTTTGCTTTCTGGCACGAATTTTCTCAACTGGCAAACTATCTTCAGAGGATGAAAATTCATCTATATTCTGAGAGTTATTTTCCTTTTCTTTTCTGTTGGGCTTCTCTGATTGTAGCAGAGGTTTGGAGAAGCTACCTAATCCATTTTTATGGGTGTGTCTTTCTTTCCATTTTGAAAAGCTGGAAGTCCTTAACTTTCTTGATTCAGAATTGTGGGAAATTTCAATATCATCAGACTCATCACTTATGTCACTTGCCCCTTTCAAATCTCTTGTGCTGTTCTTGATGTCTTTAAAAGACATGACTTTGCTGAAATTTGACTCAGTACTATGGAATTTAAGTTGCCTACTGTCTCCCTTAAATACCAACCCATCTTCTTCTTTTGCTAACTCTTCACAATTTTCAGATGCTGACCTGTAAACTTCAACTTTTTTAGTAAGCATTGGTTGCTGGTATGATGGAACTTGGGTAGGAAAGATGACATCATCATTCTCTTCAGAACTCCATTCAGTTTCAATGACTACATCACTTTGCTTTGAAAGGTGCTGATCCTCATTTTCTCTGTTCTCTTCCTCCTCAGAGTCTGACAAAACAAGCCAGTTTGTACTATATGTATCTCGTTTATCAGTTCCATCTGGTGACTGAACAGCTTTCCCATGCTCCAAAGCAGGTACATGGCTTTGACATTTCTGAAAATCACTATGCTTGCTATTTACATTTCTTCTTATAGTTTGATAATCAGAATTTGAATGATGAGAGTTATAATTATTAGACTCTTCTTCGGTAGTTTCAATTTTTCTCTGCAACAACTTAGAGAATCCACACTGCATTAAGGAAAGCTGTCTCTTTGTTGCTGTTAAATTATTTAGATCGCAAGGCTTCCTTCTGTCACATTTTTTCACAGAAGTTTCTAGAACATCATCATCACTAAAGTCATCACAAAAATCCGTTTCTTCTCTCTTTAATTGTGCTTGAATACTTCTGGGCTGTCTATCTTCCTTACAGTCTGGTTGCTCATACTAAAAGAGTAATTTACAGCAAAGGTATTTAAAACATAAGTAATATATGGAATAAACCTAATTCCAAAACAGTGTAAAAAAAGTGGATTTTCATTATGGTACTCAATCAAAAAAATTATACAAAATAGTATTACGATATGCAAATAGCAAGCAAATACAAAACAAATAATGAAGAGAAATTACATGAAAGTCTTTGGTAGAACAAAATTTTTAGCAGAACAAAGAAAATATACACTTTTGGTTATTTGAGACTATATATGCATCACACTGTTAAAACAAATTATGTGTTCACAATCCCCACCCATATTTTTCCAGTTTATACTGACCTTCTTGCAACTTTTCATCTTTCAAAGGTAGTTTGAAAAGTGACTTCCTGATTCAAACCTTAATAGTGCGTAATGACATTCATAAAAATATAACCTCCCAGCAGCAGTCAACCTCTTTGTATTTGGGGGATAATACAGTTTAAAAGAGCTAGGAGTGCATAACATTCTGCTCTTAAAATTAGTTGAGGCCTACTGTAATCAAACAAAAATTACCTCCAGGCAACCTTAAAATATTTGAAGCTACAGAAGTCCAAAATACAACTCCAAAACACTGTATTACTGAGATAAAAATTATGACAATATTAAATGAAAAGTCAGAAGGGTAAATACTAAACTTTTGTACAAAAATAGAAGTTTTAAAATTAATATATTAATCCTGGTATCAACCTGCTTATCAAAAAGCATTTCATACAAAGTAAAAAAGTTACTGTCCCCAAATCCATTGTGAGATCATGACCATACAGCAATGTGAGGTTATCACCAGTGTGATGGCATACTGATTTTTAAATTTATACTGACATTTACCCACAGAAATCTCCAAAAAGCATGAGGCAGTGGCTAATTTTCAGTACTGTTCAGTGATCTAATCTAATGACATTTCCACGTTTAGAGGCCATATTTGCAGACCTACTGTTTGTTTCTCAAATCATCTGAATGCAGTGCTCAGTTAAATACATTCATAAAAATGCTCCCATGAAACCCAGCCTTTACAGGAAAAAAAAGAAGTCTGGTTCCAGAAGGAAGTGATTCGATACATTATTTAGGAAAAAAGCCGACATTGAACAGACCACTGATTTGGTGGGAATCACTGACTACATCAGCTGAATAGCCCATGTCTTCTATAGAGGTCCACAAAGCCTGAAGCAAGCTTTCAATCCTCCAGACCAACTGTACTCCTTTCCACAATTTCCAAACCAAAATCCTCTAAAGAACAGTAGGTGTTAGATTCTCAATTGACTTTTTGATCTGAGGCTATTATATCACATGGCTGCCACTCTTAAGACACTACAGAGCAATGCTTCAGTAAACAATACTGCTCTGTAGTAACAGCATGTTAGTAATACTTTCATTCAGACTGAGGATATCCAAGTGTTGTAAAGGTCATAGAATATCCTATTACCAGATGTTCAGAATATTCCATTTTAATACAGACAATGTGACATTATCTAAGGCTTTACACTATGTAAAACAATCAGACAATAAAAGATGGCAAGAGCAGACCAGGGTAAAAGTATTACCAGCCTAACAACATACTGTCCACATGTACCACTGTAGTATCAGGAACTAAAGAGACGGTTATGCTCTGGTCCATAGTCCACAAAGACATCTCACCTTTTCTGAGCTGCATGAAGAAGTCTCTTCCTTTAGCCATGTAGTTGCTGTCATAACTCCTGCTTCTACTCGTCCTTCCCTCTAAAACAATCAAGAATACATAGAAGAAAAACTGTATCTGTTCAAGGTAACAAAGGCAAGCCCAGAAAAAAAAAAAAGTTTCTTTTTTTCTACAGAGATAGAAGCATCAGAAGTACAATCAGTGAAGTCCAGGCTAAGACTTACATTTTGACACTTAGTGCTCTTTGATCTAACCCATAACCTACAGGAAAAGTAACACACTGCATAAATTGGGAAGATCTTACATATACACTGTTTTAATAATTTTTAACTCTTTTCCAAAGCAGATATCTGCTGGAATGTTCATATTATATGCCATGTTTTAATTTAGATTTAATTTAGAGAACTTTTGAGCTTAATATATGGTGGTTTTATACCACATTACTCTCTATAGTGCTATATCACATTCCCCAGCCTCTTCCTAGTATAGGCAAAATAACAAGAAGGATGGAAAGAAACCTAGAATAAAGCAGCAATAAATTCCAAGATGCACATTAGCTGCAGCAAACATGCTGAACAGAAAAAGGTATAATACTGCATATTCTTAAAACCAGTGTGCATTACATGCTATGGAATTGTGCCAACAGTCCTTTTAGAGTAGCTAAGAAATTTATCTTAATATATGAAGCCTCAGTTATTTTCTTCCACCTTGTAATGGTTTTAAACCTAGCATGATAAAATATTTTATTAAGCAGTTTTTGACATCTCAAAATGTACTACAAAAGGTTACTATGATCATAAATATTTTAATGATCTGGCTTAAAAGGTTACTAGCTGAGCTATTGATAAAAAAAGGTATCTGCACAAAGCTGACAATATGTGAAAGTATCACAAAATTAAGTTACGGCATTTTTATCAGGAAAAGAAATATATTTGCAAACTTTTGGAAGTTATAATCCAAACTTTTTCCAGTTTTTTGTTTAAGGAAATCTGGTCTAGGATCAGAGCAAGAAATTAGCATGCCTATGTCATTTAAGGCACTGCATAGACAGGTACTGTTTGAGTTTTATAAAGTATTTTGTTATAATTTTGAATGAAAGCTTCTCATAAGGAAAGGAAAAATGTAAAACATATCCAGAAGAAAAAGCGTAGGACTTCACACCTCCAGGATGTCTTTCGTAAGACAGGACCCATGAGTCCTAAGTTTGAAAAGGTTATGGATCCCAAAAAGCTCTCCTTGATGTTCCTTTGATCCTTGCACTGCCTCAAAATACCGCTTGGCATTTTCACTTCCAACCACTGCACAGTGAAGTTGCTAAAACAGAACAACACAAGACATTTCAGAAGTGTTTGCTCCAACAACATGTCAGAATTTCCTGGCATCCACATTATATACATAGCTCTAGTTGGACCAGGCAGAAATTCTTAAGGGAGTATATTTTTGTTTTAATTTACCTGACAGATGTTGGTATAATAGATTGTGGTAGGACATGAACCTGCTTGGTTTTACTGAATTAAAAAAAAAAATTTGAATCTTTTACTTCATTGTTGCCTAATATCAGACACCCACTATACGCTCTACTGAGACTCCTCTGTATCTTGACGGCTTATCTTTACTCAATACTAAATTCTTACTGTTTTTTCATAGCCCTTTGCATTGTAAGCTTACTTGGTAAGGAGTAAATAAAAGCCACAAGATTACTCCTACTGATCTCTGAATATTTTAGCAATCTACTCTTGCTAAGTAGATTGAACAGAAGTGACTTAAAAATCTTCCAGGTGAAAAGGAAAGACAAGTAAATAGTTTGTCAGGCAGAATTAAAACATTTTTTAAGTCAGGCAGGTTAGCTTCATTCCAATGACTGCAAATTTTCAATACTTAGATAATTGGTATATTTGACTTTAACTGGAAGAATGTCAAAACCATGGGTTTATGGATACCAGACCTGTAATATTTTTTGTAACTGACTCTAAGCAGTTGGTAGTTCTTAAGTTCTACTCACTTCTAGTTCTAGCACTGAATAGGCATTTTCCTAGACAGGACATCTCTTGAATTATGTAGGCCAGTAACTATACCGTCAAATTCTAAATTAACTTTAGCTAAGCACAGTTTACTTTCTTGAATCATGCATAGTATTTACAAAAGTATATTTTAGGATACATATACAACTTATTCAGGTTTCTATTATCTTACATTTCAATTTTATTTATATCACATTATTCAATCTCATATTATGAGGTCAGACAACCAAACACCACTAAAAAAAATATAAATCACAATTTTAAAATCAAATAGATTCCTTAGTAAGAATACACTACAAACATCATAAAGTATTTTCACGTAAATTAGTTTCATGAAAAGGACTGGTGACATTTAGCTCAGAGCACATTTGTATAGTTCACCAAAAGCAACATGTCCACATATACTCATTGCTTATGAATTTTCAACAGCAGATAAAGGCATTTTCTTTACAACTTAACTGCTAATTTCCTAACTGTGCTCAAGTGTCAATAGCAGGGAATGCAATCCAAGCGTCAACTAAAAAAAAAAAAACCCCAGACTTGCAATTACTCTGTTTATTGCTTCTTATTCGGCTTGAAAACCAAGTCAACTTGAAAAAAATCCCAAAAACCTCACAACCAAACAAGAGCCTTTCAAGTAGTTTTATACATGTCTTTTGGAAATCCAAACAGACAGTATCATGCAGATCATTGTCTACAAGATCACCAACTCCAAAGACCTCTGTGAAGCATGACTTGCTCCCTCATGATTTCAGTGAATATAGTTGGTCATAATCCTCTATTGATCATTTTGTTAAGTCTTTCAGAGACCTCTTCTACTGATACTTGCTGTTGAAATGAATCCTCAAAGGTACTTCATGAGAAACTTTGGAACAGGATGCTCTCTAAGCTTTTCCATGAATATGGATATAAAGAACATATCAAGTGGGTTCTTTGCAATGAACAATGGTTTAAACCTTGCTAAAGTAATGCCCATAGAGCAATACAATTCCTGCTCCTGATGTGTTAAAAACCAAAATTGTTAGCTTTTATGTTTTTAGACCACTGTCCCTCAACAGTAGTTTTTTGACTTACTGTTTTTTATATTTAACTCACCTGATTAGTATGATTTCACCTATTAATACAATGTCTTATTCATTCTGAGCTTCTGATACAGAGTCTTTGGAAATGCCCAGTTACCTGTGAGCACGTCAGCCCATCACCTACTACTTTTAATTTCTTCTTAACAAGTTTCCTCTTTTTTTTACTTAGATCATTTTGTCAAAATTAAACAGAACTCTTAAATTTTTTGGGGTTCTGTAAAACATTGAATTTAAGTGCGATAAAGTCACTGTAACCCTTTTGAAAGTAACATTTTAAAGCTGGCCATACACATTGAGAGAAGCTCAAGATTTGATCTTCCAGCCGTGGGGTTTCTGATTATCTGCTCTGTGAAATCAGATATCATGTCCAAATGCTTGATCTTAGAATCTTATTCTTATTTGTCACTTACTTAAATCTGTATGAGGATAATGACACTCTGTCTATTACTGCATTTCCCACTCTTTCAGTCTCCAGCTCCTCATTGTAAATAACCCAGCTACAAGAGGGTGCTTGTCACTGAGGACTCAGTATCAAATTTTTCCTATTTATGGCCAAAAATTGAAATTATTAGGTTAATTCATCAAATTTCATAACGCTTTCTTTAATACATGGTATCATTTGCCCAGTGAGGTGACCTCGTTTGCCTTTTCTAGGCAATGCATTCTTCACGACAGCTGTATCTCACTAATTTTCTTCTCCAAGTTTATAAGCCTATAACATCAGTATCTTAATTGAAACCCAATCATCTTTTTAACTTACAACTTTTGTTGAGAAAAACATGTTCAAATGTCGTCAATTTTGTTATTACTCTGAAGCCTGCTCTTTGTTGTTGATATTTGAGTTTGCTTATTTTTTTGTTTTAATTCTGATCTCATCAGGAAGCAGTTGCTAGATTATGTGTTCCTCAAACCACACACAGTTTTTCACATTCTTTGGTTTTCAAGCCTATCAATGCAAGTAGCAAAATTTAGAAAGAGCAGTTGTTTCAGGTTGAGTGTTCTGGCAGACAACATCACTTCTTATCTTCATAACAGCAGCAACTACAAGCTGTTTCCCCCTCCTTTTATATGCAAATTTTCAAAGACAGGAGAGTAACAACATCATCTTGCTTTTCTTCTACAGCACCAGCAAGATTTTTGCTCTCTTTCTCCAGTCTTTCAAAAGGAAAAGCTGCCTGAATCATACTGCTGCAGATACTAACTACATCTCTCTCAGATATTTTTTACAGGTTTTTAAATAAAACAGTATTCTGTATAACCTGATTAAGGTATATTCGTTAATTAAACTGTCAAAAGTTACAGAAAAACTTGAATACAAATATAATTCTGTTTTGTTCTTTGACAACTACTGATATATCTTTCCTTAGCAAGTTAAAGTAACAGCATATATCATAAAACCAAAGTAAACTTCAATTTTGCTATAGGCTAGCTTAGCTTTCAGTCATTGAAACAGCAAAAAACCAGCTCCTAATTTAAATAGTCTGTGAACTTTACCTGTTTATAAACTTGTCGCAAGTACATCATCTCCTCCACAGTTCCCAAGGATATCAATCTAAACACTTTAACATCTTTGTATTGGCCAATCCTATAAGCTCTGCAAGGACAGTGGCATATTAAAAAAAATACCTTTTAATCAGTAAAAAAAATAAAAGAGCGCTCTTAGGGATAGTAAAATAAATAAATAAAGCATTCCAATAAAACAGAAGTACTCTAAATCATTGAGAAGCTGAGTGCTTTTTGATGGTTGGGTTTTTTTTTTTTAAATCTGGGTTTTTTCTGGGTTTGTTGGGGTTTTTTTCCTCACTTGTCCAAATTTTCCTCAGTATTTCTTTCCCTTCTCCTTTACCCTTAATTTTCCAAGTTTCTTCCCAGGTCTATCCAGTTGAAAAAGCTTTCTCCTTGATTTGTTTCACAAGCCTGTCTCCCATCTTTCTTGAAAACACATCTTCCACTATGTTTTCTCAGTTCTGTTTTTTTTTTCTCTGTCTCCATCTGGTCTTGCACAAAATCGTCTCCTATTTGCATTATATAGGCGCTAGATCAAGGATTCCTTGGGGCAGTCTGTTCTTTAACTTTATAAAGCACTTTGCAAATTACAACATAATAAAAACAGCTAATGAACAGGCAATGTTCTTTCTAAATGGCAAATCCTGAGACTTCTAATAAATTACATCCTGAAAATTCAAGAGGCTGAACCAATTTAAAGAATCTTTGTAAGACCACGTTTCTATACAGCCCCTTTCAACAACACACATTTCTGATACACATATTCCTCCAGAACAGGCACACATAAACACCTCTGAGAAGTCAGAAAGACCCGTAAAATGGAATTACGTAAGACAACAGAAACAAGTCCATATATTTTCATGAGCAAAAATAAATCTACTGAATTTTGAAGGCTTCCCATATTCTTTACTTTAGCTATTCAAAAGTCTGTCCTGAATTCCTAGGGAAACATCCTATGATCAAAAAGCCTTGAAAGAAAAATCCAGATTCCTGGAAATCCTCCAGTGGCATAGTATCAGAGATGGAAATGAGTGCTGAGAACCATTAATCTCCACAATGGTGAAGCAGAAAAGAACAGAGATGTTTTTCTTTAAGGATTCTGGAATTCAAAACATCACTTGAACTAGAGTCAATTACAACTCACTCTGTCCTGAAAAACATAGGAAAAATGCCATCCAGCTATACAGACACATACATACTTGTTCTAGAGATCACGAAAAGTTACACTAAATATGGCTTTTTTTTTTTTTAATGAGCCCACCATCATAGTACCACAAAAATAGATGTCAAGAAAGAAGTAAAATTCAAGGTTAAAAACAAGAACATCAAAGCTAAAAATTAATTTAGCTGGACATTTACTATCTTGTGGACAAGTCAGACTATGTAAAAAAAATCCTCCTTTACACAAGTGTAGTTGGACAATTGCAAAGCAAAAGAGTACAACATGGATCTGTATTTTGAGTGTACCTGTCAATAGCTTGAAGATCATTTGCTGGGTTCCATGTGGGATCAAACAGTATAACAACATTGGCACCAACAAAATTAAGACCCAGTCCACCAGCCCTAAAAACATAAAAATGAAAAACCAGAACTTTAACAGTTAGAAAAGAAAATTGTTGATTTTCTTGTGTATTAGGTCCATTTAGCATACCCTTCTTCAACATAAAAAAAGAGCACAATGGGGATACTGAAAATAGTGGGGTACAGCTTTGTGTTACTGTTTTGACAATAAGCACCAAGTACTTAAATAACCACTGCTATAAAATGCAGTTGTCTCACCTAAGTAGCAAGAAGATTACAAACGGTACTACTAGCTGAGTCATAACCAATTATCACTTTACTATAACAAAAGTCCTGACTCCCTGAGTCCTACACAGGCCAACTCCTCCAATGACTATACGGAAATTCATAACCACTTCCCTGCCAGTTAACATCATAGAAGCAGGAAAACTGTAGCTTAAATAAAAAGTCTGCATTAAATTTTACTTCCTCTAATCCCAGAACATGGTTTTGACAATAATGCTATGCAGCTTCCACTAAAATGGTCACAGTATAGGGTAAGTCATATCGGTAAGAATTAACAACTGTCACAAGTATAGTGGTACAGTATGTAAGTCAACTGCTAAAAATATAGTTGGCCACAGAGCTGCATATCAACAACATTCATACCTGTCATTACAAGGAAAAAAGTCACTGTAAGAAAATTGTCTACTGTGGGGGGTAAGGAGTCACAGGGATACCAGTTGCATCATCTTAAACATTCAACAGCTCTACTGTGCTTTCAGGTAAAGCCTGCAAGCCAGCAAAGAATTTGAGCATATGCTTAACCTGAGGTAGCTAACTAATGCCCTTACTGAATCTAACAAAACCGCTCAGTTTCTTCGAGTTTTGCATGTGTACAGCTGGGTGATTCAATAGGAATAAAAGTGAGGAAAAATACCATTTCTCATCCAGCTGCAAAACAAACAAATACTGAAAATTCTTTTCAACTGGCTCAACCAACATTCCTACAAAAAGAGACAAGTTCCTATACAAGCACATGCCAAATACTATTATTCATTTAACTACTAAAAGAATTCTTTACATTGACATAGACAGCACTAGTTTCAAGTGTGTCTTTTCCTGAATGACGTACCACAAAATTGAAAAAGTCAATCCCATTTAATTTACCAAACACCTAGTTTTAATAGATTACTTTATATTCTGGTTGTTTAAAGCAGGAGGAAAGGTAAAGTTTCCAGGCATGTGAATAAATGGAGACAGAAACCAAAAGCTTATGGAGCCCCACTACCTTTTGGTCTTCATGGAATCCTTGTTAATGTAAATACTGCTGTGGCCTCTTCCTTCCAGGTGTAGTGTGGTGTTGTGTTAGTTAAATCTGGAAAGGGAGAGGATGTGGGAACCTGCCAAAATTAACGGAGGTTTCCGGAGGATGAGCGCTCTCAAAGTTTGAAATGCTGAATAAAAATCTTTGTGTTTTTCAGAATACTTTACTGTATTTTGGAATTTTGGTGTATTTCTTTTTAGTGAGGACAGAATTCAGCTTCTCATCTTACCAAACCAACCCTGCAGTCAGGCTGAAACATAAGTCAACATGTTTTTCCAAATGCTTTCTCATAAAAAAATGGCAGTATTTGGAATATGAATTAAACCTCAGTGCAAAGCCTTAATGTCAGTAAAACAGACTGACTATGAAAATTAACTAAACAGGATACTAGGCTTTAGAAAGATTTTACCTTTCAATATTTTTAGGTATGCCACAAAAATTCAGATACTCCAAAAGAGAAAAAGAATGGCTCCTATATCCTTCATGGACAGAATGAAGGTAGTAGTTAGTTTGTGCATAGTAGAGAATATCTTCCATTTTAAATATCATTTTAACTGGATGCTAAAGTCATTACTGCAAGATGGTCCATACAAATTACTATAATACACCTCAAATTAAGAGTCTTGTATGAAATGTCTCATAACAGTTCTGTTACAAACAGCGTTCAAAAGATCACCTTATTTAAAAAGGCACACTGTGTTAAAAAATGGCGTGGGTTTATATCCTATCAATGACAACTTAATACCACAATGTTTAGAGCTTACAAAACAATATCACTTGAGGAAATTTTCCATGAAAGCTGTGACTATGTAATTCCATTTAATGACGTAAGTTTTTATAGTTGCGAGTTCTCTGTTTCAGTGAGATCTTGTGGCTGAGAGTTCTTTGAATGTGATTACATGTACATTAAAAATGAGTTACAACATAGCTGTTAAGAATTCAAGTTAAATGCAGCCCTGAAAGAGCACAAAGTAATGGGCAGTAGTCCAGTAATTGAGAATACTGCAGGTAGAATGGAAATGCATACTGTATAACCCTTCACAATAAAAGTTGCCTACAAGTTTCTGTAACCATCATCTCTTCATCATCTAAGCACTTCTCTTCACCTAATAAAGAAAAACTGAGAAGCGGAAATAGATTTGCATTTGTAATTATTCTGAAGGTATCAGAATTCTCTAGGATCCACCTAGAGAAAGACTAGCATGGAAAACCCAGAGAACAGTGATTTAGCTTTAAAGGTGGGATCACTTGCTACTCTTATTTCTTCCAGAACACTGCAATGGAACAGGATTGCACAGATTTCAGCGTTGCACACATGCAGTTCCCCTTTTTCAGGCTAAGCAGCATCAATGGAGTTGCATTGTAATACAATGCATAGTAACATCCTTCTGTCAAATTATAGTTATTCTAACAATTATTTCAATGTTTCTAAGCATGACCAAAAAAACCCTTTTCTTCCAAATAATCATACATTTTCCCAGCAACACCAGCACAGGACTGAAATATTCTGAAACAGACTTTACTTCATGAGCCGTAGAAGCTCCAACAGATATAGACCTATTTTTCTATAAAGCTCAAGGCTGAAATTCATAATCTATATCTACCATTCTGATGAAATTTACAAGCTCTGAAGAAATCAGTCATATTTTCTCTCAATACCCATAAAATATTTTTTCCATATAGCTTTTTTTTTTTTTTACTTTATTGCTTAAGGCTCTATTTCTCAAAAAGCTCACCAACGAGCTAAAATTCAGATTTCCACATATCTACAGACTATACGTCGGCAATTCCAGGCAGAAATGGAATTTTGCCAGTATAAAAAAAATGAAATATGAAACAGGGACACTGCAAATTTAACAGTGAAGTCATCAGCACTGTCTGCATTGTAAGTCACTAGTTTATAGATTGGAGCTTCCTGTTTAAAGTTGTATGTTAACTGTGCCAGTGGAATATAATGTGAAATACAATGGCAGACTCGTGATCACTATGCAGGGAATTCATCCTTTACAGAATGCATTTTTGCAGCCAAAAGACCGTGCAAGTATTTTCAGCGAAAAATCAACGTTTGTCTCTTCAAGCAATGGTACTTTCAGGACACGTACAAGTTCACTACACAGAATAGTCGGCCAAAAACTTTGCAAGAAAGTACAGACAGAAGAGTATGACCCAATTCTGTCAACTTACTATGTGTTGAGAAATAAAGAATATACTGTGAAGACTTAATGTCTGAAATCTGAGCAAGAGGAAGGATGAATCTCTTGTAGAGTAGAGCTGTGACAAATCACTTTCTGATTTCCAAAGGATTACAAAATTGAAGCTGCTTCCATTACTGTGTATCAGTCAAGTAAAACGGAGGGCCTGGTAGGTGATGTCAAGCTCAGGGGCAGCCTTGGCTGCAGTGACCATGAAATGGTGGAATTCAGGATCCTCAGGGCAGCAAGGAGGGCGCGCAGCAAGCTCACTACCCTGGACTTCAGGAGAGCAGACTTTGGCCTCTTCAGGGATCTGCTTGGTAGAATACAATGGGACAATGCCCTGGAAGGAAGAGGGGCCCAAGACAGCTGGCTAATATTCAAGGGTCACCTCCTCCATGCTCAGGAGCGATGCATCCCAACAAAGAGGAAGTCAAGCAAAAATGCCCAGGGGCCTACATGGATGAACAAGGAGCTCCTGCACAAACTCAAACACAAAAAGGAAGCCTACAGAGGGTGGAAGCAAGGGCAGGTAGCCTGGGAGAAATACAGAGAAACTGTCCGAACAGCCAGGGAGCAGGTTAGGAAATCCAAAACCCTTAGAGAAATTAGTCTGGCCAGGGATGTCAAGG